CACAGTATACAAATTTTTTTATATATCATGTACCATGGATAACTCTGAATATGTGACATATTATGTTACATTCACTGGTAAATCTGTTACAATAAGTGGTGAACCTGTTGCATTTCAATTATTGTTACATTCACTTGATTTTAACTATTAACTTGAATTTTTATATTCAGTTGTAAATGATATTTCAAAATACCAGAATGGTAACATTTCTTGAATTTGTTACATTCAGTGCTTAATGATATCTTTTCAAAATACAAAAATGATTTTCCATTTTGAATTTGTTTCATTTAGTAGTTGATGATATCCTATCTTTTTTTAAATTTTTTCTTTTAATGAAGTAATAAACTTTTAGAAGAAAGTCTTGATTTCGTAAAGGTTTGTAACATTTTTGTTTAATCTCCAATGGTTTAAATAGGAGGTTGTTTTTTAAATTTTTATACATTTGTTTATTTAATATTATTTTTCGTTTTCTACTCTAAAAAAAACAGAGTGCAAGAGAGATGCTTAAAGGAAGAAAATCATATTGATTAAATTTGTAACATATTCCCTGCTCCTATTTTTATTACGGAATGCTTTTTGAAATATTTGATAGATAAGGTATCTCATACGTTCTTTCTGCACTCTGTAAAAAGAATACGGACTATGATTGCGGATGTTTTGCTTTTAATCTATTTTCTAGATATTAACTGCAATCAACCTGAGATAATTTATCTGTTTAAAATGTGATGGATATATTTTCCTTTACAAAGCAATAAAATTATATAAAATGCAATAATTTGATACCAATGACTGAATTTCGTCAAACATTGATATCAAATATCAGATAAATTTCAATAATCATACAAACATCAGATAAATTCCAATATTATACCTGTTTTAAAATGATCCAAGCGGATTATATATTGTTGTTCAATATAAATAAAAAACTAGTGCTATAAATAACAGTTTAGGAAGTAAAGTAGTTTTTTTTTTCTGTAAAAAGCTCAGGCCTGACTCTTTTTTGCCCTAAAATTATTCCATAAAATAGTGAATTTCGTAAAATTCAATTTAATTAATATTTTAATAAATTGAACAGAAAAAGTAACATTGAACAATGCATTTCCACCAAAATTAATTATTACTTTGTTAATATTAAGAAATGTATCTTTTTTAAGTAATTCATATTACCAATTTTCAATAAAACATTTAAAAACTGTACTTACTTTTATAATAAAATGCTAACAAAATTTCGAAATAGCTATAAGTTTTAATTATTAAAAAAAAAATTTAAATTAAATTTATAAAGAAAATGTAAAAAAAAAGTTGATTTTTAAAATTATAAAAAAATATTAATATTATTATTTTTATTAAATCGCAGACAAAGGCAAGAAAAAAGGATTAATTTAATTTACATTAAACGTTACTATCAAGGACTACGCTGGCCTTGTATTTTCAAGGTGTAATCTATAGATACTGATTTTATTTACAGGAGATAGTGTATAAGCATTAATATAGACAATGCTTTTAAGGCGACAAGCAGTCAGTCGTTTTGCGAGAATATGGGGCACCGCGAGTAGACGACTGACATCACAGTTTCAATCTGTATAGAGAGAAAGCTTCTGAGAAAAAGGAGAATTCCTTATTGAATAAGTCAACAAGAATTCCCAGTTCCTTGCTTAGAGCGGTCGGCTTGCTTTAGACTTCACAGGCCATGAATACTTACAGAGTACCTGTATAGAATAGGACTGGCTGCTATAGATATCTGCCTCGAGACTATGACGTGCCTATGATTGGAGAGCGCCTCATCATTTGCCCTATAGTTCTTAACAGTTTCCCTTTTTGTGTTACTGTCAGTGCCTTTAGTGATTGTTTTTGTCATTCTTTACAGTATTGGGCTGCTAATCGACTAATGGCGGAGATGTCAGAAACGGAAATAGTATAGAAAGTAAAGTATAGAAAACCAGTATAAAAAGAAGGATTCTGAGAAAAAGTGGAATTCCCTATTGAAAAAAGTCTACAAGAATCCCCCGTTCCTTGCCTAGAGCGGTCGGCGTGCTCTGCTTTAGACTTGTCAAAGGTACTACAGAGTACCTGTATAGAATATGACTTTGCTACAGATATCTGCCCCCTTTGCAACTACTGCGTTCCTATGACTGGAGAGCACTTCATCATATGCTATACTGTTCTTAACTGTATTCCATTTTGTGTTGCTGATAATGCCTTTAGTGATTGCTTTCAACGTTAGTTGCTACTGGTCAACTAATGACAGAGAGGTCGGTGACGGGCATAGGATAAAACAAATAATTTGTAAAAATAATTTATCTGTATTATATATTAAATAATATTTTATTTTAAATACATAAGATAGATAGTGAGTTCAAAATTAAAATATTTTTTATCAAATTAAAAAAAATAATATAGCATTAAATAATTATCTCCACAATTTTAAGTCATGAATGATAAAAATGTGATAGCTGTGAGGAGTATAGATGCAGGAGTTGTGATAAAAGTATCTAAACACAAATGATAATAAAAGAAATAAAAATAGTGATAATAAAAGAAATAATTTAGTGATAATAAAATTTTTTGTTAAACCATAAGGTATCATAATAATAAGTATCTTTAAAATTTCAGTAAAATTTCAAAATTTTATTAATATAATCTTTACAGACAAGAATTTAAACAGAATATAAATAAAATTATTACTTTATTTAATCATTTACAATAGTTGCAATAAAAGACTAATTGTACATCTGGGTGTTCACTCGAAAAAAAAACACTTTATGAGAGGAATTCCTAAGATACAAAATTTTCTGCTATAATTATTATTAAAAATGAATTAAAATCAGAAATTATGCAATAACTTCTCACAGAATTTCTGAAAATTAACTGAATGCAGCAAACTAATAATTTTTAAACAGTCTTAAAAAGGTTTATCCAGAATATATTAAATATATGTATAAATAAAAAATTCAAAAACTATTATTTATATATTATTATAATGTCACTTAAATTGTTTGCGTCTAATAATCTTATAAAAGTAATCGTCTTTAAATCGTCTTATAAAAGTGCAAATGAATTTTTTAAATATAATAGAATAATCTCAAAAAATCTTAAAATCTCTTAAATCTCTCGTTTCCATTAAACTACATGATATGACATAAATCTATAATTCTTTTAAAATATTTTATCCCTTTTGAATACAACTTATTTATATAAGCATAAATCTTGATGTTTCATTATTATTATTTTATTATTAATATTATTTTTGTTTCTTACTATATCCTAAACGACTTTGTTGCTCTTATTTTTTCAGCTTATTCTATTCAGAAGAAATCAAATACAGAACGGAAGAAAAGCGTATTTCATTTACATTCCTCAAACATGAAAATCGGAGGGAAAAAAAAGTGTTATTTCGTTTTTCCTTACAGGATGCTTTTTGTAGCATATTGAAAGATGAAACATCGCATATGGAAAAAAAGACAGGGTTCTGATTACGAATGTTTTATTTGATTTGAATGTATTTTCTAGGTATGCAATCGAGATTCAGTGATTCACATTTATCTTTTTCAAATACAAGTATGCAGAAATGAGAACCCTAAATCTTTTCTTCATAATATACAGAAGGTATTTGTGTTCTAATATCAATGTTTCCATCTTTACCACTGCAAGCTATATTGAAAAATTTCAAAAACGGTTTGGATTTAACATAATTAAAGTGCATTGTATATTTCTGAACATTTCAATATTTATAAATTCGGATCTTTTATGCTTTTATTTTTTTCTCTGAAAATTCGGAGTCTAAGATAAATTGAAAGTGAAACTAAATAAGAAAGGGAAAATAACGAATATGCAGAAATAATATGTGCATAACACAAAATTTATTTTAAGATTATGTTAAATAATTTTAAGATTTGTTGCAAACTGAATGAGAAGGGAAAAATAACGAATATGCAAAAGTAATCTGTGCCTTAAATAAATTCCATTTTAAGATTAAGCTGAATAATCTTAAGACTTGTTGCAAACTGAATGAAAAAAGGAAAGTATTGAATATGCAACAATAATTTGTGCATTAGATAAATTCCATTTTATGATTAAGATAGATAATTTAGCAATAATAACAAACTGAATGAGAAAAAAAAATAATGAATATGCAATAGTAATCTGTGCATTAAATAAATTCCAATTTAGGATTATGTTAAATGATTTTAAGACTCGTTGCAAACTGAATGAAAAGGAGAAAATAATGAATATGAAATAGTAATCTGTGCCTTGCATAAATTCTATTTTAAGGTTATGCGAAATAATTTTAAGGCTCGTAACAAGTTGCATGTGAAACGGAAAATAACGAATATGTAATAGTAATCTGTGAATGAGATAAATTTCATTTTAGAATTATGCTAAATAATTTTAATCCTCGTTTTAAACTGAAAAAAAGAGAAACATAATGAATATGTAATAGTAATCAGTATATAAGATAAATTTCATTTTAAAATTATACGAAATAATTTTAAGACTTGTTGAAAACTGAATGAGAAAGAGAAAATAACGAATATGAAATAGTAATTTGTGTAGATAAATATCCAGATTATGCTAAAAAAATGGCAGATTAGTATCCAGATTATGCTAAGAATTTTTCAAACTGAATGAGAAAGCGAAAATAATACAAATAGGTGCAATTTTTTTATACGCTCATATATATATATATATATATATATATTGTTGTTGTTGTTGTTTCTTATCCCATTTGGCTGGCCAAGCCCACGAGCCCATACGTACTCATGATTGAAGGGGAAGAAAGCAGCTTCTGTTGTGATGGAGCACCCCGTAAGTAGAAGTCAGACTTCGGCTCCGTGACGCTCTTGCAGTCATAGGAGACCGGGACCTACGACTTAAAGTGGATTCCGAACCACTACAAACATCCATGGCACCGCCGGGATTCGAACCCGAAACCTGTGGCACCGAGCGCCAGACACTCGGCCATTCAGGTCCCAAATTTGTGAATGGCAACGGCACGCGATGGTGGTCACCCACCCAAGTACTGACCGCGCCCAATGATGCTTGACTTCGGTGATCTAACGAGAACCGGTATATTCAGCATGGTATGGGCGTTGGATCTATCTATCTATCTATCTATATAAATATATATATATATATGTGTGTGTGTGTGTGTATATATATATATATATATATATATATATATATATATACATATATATATATGTGTGTGTGTGTGTGTATATATATCAACCACAAGCAATAAATTTTCGTATATCCCTTGATTTTATTAACTTAACAAGGGACATCATTTTAGATTCTTTTAGATTCTGTAGACATCATTCAGATTTAAGAATTTAGCTAAGTGGACTGAAATCACCTAGTACATAGGCACTAGTGAATCTGGTTTCAAAATTTGGTTAGCAAAGCCAAACAAGAAATTATTAAATCTATGTCGGATGATACAATAATATCCGTTAGACAATAATACAAATAATATCAGTTAGATTCGGAAAAGGAAAAGAAGATTAAAAAAAAGATTAAACTCATTTCCCCCCCATCCTATATATTCTCCCTTAAATGTTTACAAAATAGAGGTATAGTGTAATAGGCTACCTGTGAATGACTTAGGTTAAAATAACAGGCATTCATAAACGACTATGAAATCTGATAAATATTTATAGAATCCAGCCTGGTAAACGTATTTTTAAACTTCTCATCTACGTTTAGAAATAACACAAAAGTTTTGAAATAAATTTACAATTTAAGAACGGCTGTAAAGTAAATAAAAATAACAAATAAAATTAATGGGTGAAATGTTTGTTGAAATCAGTTATGTAAGGAAAATATCTACAACAATTTTCGTAAATGTGATTTTTAAAAAAATTTAATTTATTGTAAATATAAATAAAACTCATCTTAATTATTGTTGATATACTAAATGTATTACTAAAAGCAAAATTAATTAATTAAACATAAAAAAAAACCATTAAATTTCCCTCCCACATTTTGATTTGAAAAATTTTAGAAACAGAAATTTTATTCATTTATGGTGAAAGATCACAAGTAAAAATTAAATCAATAAAAATTAATGGGCGGAATGCTTGTTGAAATCATTCATGTAAAAAAAAAATATCTAAATCAATTTTTGGAAATATAATTTTTTTTTAAATTTTATTTATTGTAAATATAAATAAAATTCATTTCAAATTTTAAGTTTAATTAATTAATTTTGCTCTTATTTATATATTTAGTACATCAACAATAAAATTCATTTCATTTATTGTTGATGTACTAAATATATACATAAGAGCAAAATTAATTAATTAAACTTAAAAATTTACATTCATCAATTTTTTCCTCTTCAGTTTGATTTGAAGATTTTTAGAAACAGAAAATTTTATTCGGTTAGGGTGAAGGATCAGAAGTAAAAATTAAATCAATAAAAATTAATGGGCGGAATGTTTGTGGAAATAATTTATGTAAGAAAAATATCTAGAACAATTTTTGGAAATGGGATTTTTTTTAAATTTTATTTATTAGTAATATAAATAAAAACTTGTTTTATTTATTGTTGATATACTAAATGTATTACTAAGATAAAAATTAATTTATTAAACATAAAAAATAACATGCATTAAAATTTTTTCCTCCGCTTGATTTGAAGAATTTTTGAAATAGAAATTATATTCAATCAAGATCACAATCTGTTCTTTGAATTTAAATTCAAAAATTATTTTCGATAACTTTTTATTGTGTATTGAATTATCTAAAAATATCTTTTAAAAGTTTATAATCAATAATAGTAATTTTTCTTGAAGACCTTAAATTTTACAGTGAAACGTCTTGTAAACGTACATGCATTAAAAAAATTATAATAACGGAAATGACGTCGGATAGTAATGAGATGCTCATTATTTTCCTGGCACTCGCTAATTAACGTAAAATTATGAGTTAGCATTTTATATTAAAACAATGTTAATTAGTCTGTCCAGCAAATTTTTTATCCACTTTAAGACAATTATTTTTATTTAAACCCGAAAGCATTGTTAAACAATTAGTTTTACAGTAATTCTTGATTTTATTATCATTTTCAAGCCTTCATAATTGAGGCATCATTATTGAAACAGTTATTCTGGTGAACAAATAAAATATTGTTTTCAACGCCATCTACTTGCATTGCATAGAAATAAATATTTTCATAATTAAAATTTTTTGTTTATATTGATGCAGTACCAGTATATCAATTGACAAAAGGACTGGATTGCGAAGAATTCTGCACAAGAATATTTTATCCAAATTCAACATACAAGATCATTTACAAGAGTCGCATTTTGAGAAAAAAGGTTAAATTCATTAAAAAAATATTAATTCTTTATAAAATATTAAATTCTAAACAATGTATAAGAGTTTATAATTTAATATTTAGAAATTCTTTATAAATATTACATTCTTTAGAAAATAGGAATTGTAACACTGTTCAAATCACGTTTGTACACTGTCAGACATCTTCAGTCTTTACCGCACAAGATGCGCATGATATGATAATAGAGATTTTTGTATACCGTTAGTTACCGTAGGACGTCCGTTAGTTTTTTCTCCCAAGCGCGCATGCTCATAGGAAATTATGTTTCCTATGAGCATGCGCGCTAGGGAGAAAAAGCTAACGGACGTCCTACGGTAACTAACGTACGGTATGCAAAAACTCTCTAATGAGTAGCAATATCTACTGCAATATAAAGCCACAAATATGCGGTTAGGTGATTCACGTTCTCCACGTAAAAGCACATAATGTTGCAAAATTAAATCGACTATCGTGTATTAATTCTGTCGCTCATTTCGTGGATTAACTCTGGCGCTATTAACCGTGTTTCGGCTATGAGTTGCGGCGGTGCCATGTTTGTAGTGGTTCGTAATACACTTTAAGCCGTAGGCCCCAGTCTCATATGACCGTAAAGCGTTACAGAGCCCAATCATACTTCTTCTCACCAACATCATTTCCAAACTGTAAAAGGCAACTCAGCTCTAGGCATAGTTATGTGGTGTGGCGTAGTAGTAGTAGTAGTAGTAGTAGTCTCATATGACTGTTGAGCGTTGGGCTGGCAATTATACGGGAGTCCCCTTACGGGTCCAAATATATATCCAACAATAAATATATCCCTTTACGGGAGTAAAGAGAAAACATCTCCTGTTTCGAAATCTGCCAATAAGCTGACGGCCTTGGCTCACCATGGGGCTATTGCGTCAATGATAATAATGATGATGATTATGTATTAGTTTTGAATCTTAAAAAAATGAGTTAAACGTATCAGATTGAAACAGCTGTCCTTTGTTTTGAATGTATAAGCCATTCGAAAATTTCATCTGGAACTATTTAATCGTCTTCTTACACACTGTAATCGTCTTCTTACGGGCTGTAGGAAGATAATTAAAGATTTGATTAGATGGTTCCTGCACAGAGAGTGATTTCCATATTCTCTCTCACCTATAAACTTCACTTGTTTAATAAAGTTCAACCAACAATTAATTGTTAAAATCATTAATTCTGGATAGACTGAACTTCTAGAAGGCGAAATTCTATACAGATTCTAAGAAAACATGTCTTACGAAAATAATATTCTTATAGTGAATGATGAAAAATTTAAAAAAAAAGTATGTACTTATATAAAATCATGAATGCAATTTTATTTCTATTATTTTGTATATTTTTTGCAACAACCTGCCTTTTTTCATGAAATGAGCCTTCGTGGTTTATAAAGGTGGATTTCCATTGGATACTATAATTGCACGTCACTGAACACCAGTCATTCGGAAGCCTGACCTTCTGCCGACTCAAGTTGTTTGCCCATCAGATATTAAGATCGCATGTTGCAGAACTTCAGCCAATCAGAAAACTAAATGAGCAGGAGATCAAGCTTCTGGTTGGTTGTCGTTCTGTGACATTTTTGTGCCTTTTTGTGGAAGTATGTTTAGGAATTCCAACTCGAATCTTCCAATTATTTTATATTTATTCTTTTTTATTGTTCTGTGACGTGTGATCTTAATAAGTTTTGGAAATCCAGCTGCAGGCTTCCAGTTGACTGGCTTTTCCCATTGTGAAATTGTGAAATTCCCATGGGGATATGTTTAGTAATAAAATAAATAGATATGTAATAAAATAAGTGATATTTTATATGACATATAAGTGATATTGACTTAAGCATTTAAATAGACCTGCAGCTAATAAGCATTGCAACAATTCTAAATTAACTGTTAAACTTTTAAATGCACATTTTCAGAGATCTTTAAAATTTTATGTTGATTGGACAGTGTAGAACAACGATATGTTAATAATAATAAATAAATTTCAGTATGTTAATAATAATCACGTTAACAACGGCACGTCAATTACATTAATCACATTGTTAATCCTCTTAAAATACTTTTTAATATTGTGCTATTAAGAAATATAATATTTACGTAACTGATGAGAATATTAATAAGTCCAAATGTATTAAATTTTATATTTATTTTTTTTCCTGGACTTTAGAAGTTTTTCAAGTAAATTAGAAGTAGGCATGCTAACCAAAATAGGTACAATTATATCAAAATAAGAATCCATTTCTAATAATGATTTTCGTAGCAATTTTTAAAAGTGCATTTTGTAGCAACTACTTCACATTTCGCTTTAATTGTATTGTAGAATTCCAGCATTGGCGTCATGACAAAATTTAAGTATGGCTGTGCCAAGACACAACTACAATTAAAAAGACTTAGCCAGGGCAAATTACATACATTGTAACCAGCAATTCGAATTTGATCAAGTGATTTATTAAGTAGTATTTTTTGAAGCCATACATTTTTGAAGAAAAATTACAGATACTAAAAAATGCTAAATTTTATACCATTTTTTTCTGGAAATGTGTTTTCTTATCTTTGCAAATATCACAAAATTAAAGCTAACCAAAATAGGAGCAATTCTTATATAATAAATTATATATAAATAAATATACATAAAAATAAAATATTTATATTAAATGTATATAAATTAATATATATTAATATACATATTTATAATTAATATTTATATATATTATAATTTATATATATATATATATATATATATATATATATAT